TTGTCCTCTTGGCAAAGATATTGCCATCAGAAATGTCTTAGTTTCCACAGTGATAAAAATTATGACATTTACCTTTTACTCTTGCACAAAGCTCTTGTTGTCTTTTTGTTGCCATGCAAATCGAGAATTATTACATTTATAACGTTGAATTGACAGCTGCTGTTTAACAAATATTCACAAGTCTGGTATTGACTGCCTTGACCATTAAAAGCTCTTAACGATGAAACCAGTACTGTAACCAAACTATAAGGCCTATGTGTCTATTATGAGAAAAGATGTTAGCACCTTGATCAGAGGTAACACCTAGCCCTCAAGGGAGGATTTCAAATTACATGCCAAGAAGAATAGGCTTTCAGACCATTTCATGAGATTCCTTTCATCCGAAAGATGAGGCCTGGAAATGAGTAGGGGAAAAGGCTAACTATGTCAGATAGAATTTCCATCCAGCCCTGCAGGCAGCAAGGGACGGATGTAATTCAACTCGAAGCATCGATCTTTTACCAATTTAGAACGGAGGTGCGTTAAGATTTGGTTCTCTTCTAAAGCTGCTGTGATCTCTTTATTTCCTGTCTGAATTATCGGACACTGTTCTAGCTATCTGGTTAAATTGAACCCACCTAGTAATTAAAGTTTTTATGTCACAAGCATGGGCAGTTAATGGTGATGGTGTACATGTAGATGCCATGAGCAGAGGGTGATTATGGGAATATTTGAGGTAGGTTTAACACCTTAGGTCTTGAGGTTTTTTTCCAGACTTGTTTGCTTGTAACAGGGAACATGCTTGATAATAATGAACTCGACTGTTGATGTTCTAAGAAATACCAGTACTTCTGAAATGATCTTTCTATAATCAGATGTACTGATAACTGGTATCTGTGAGCCCACAGATCAATTGTAAACATGTTACGACCAGCCTCTCAGTATTCCAAAGCCTAGCAAGATGCTTTCTTTGTAAGACAGCTGCCTAATGACTCAATGAATTCAATCTTAATCAGTATTCTGAGGTGCCCAGGGACATTCAACCTCATCAGCAGCTATCTAAACCTTCATGTTTACAACCAGGCAGGCCACCCTGTCGTTTTACAGCTAAAAGACCATCACTCTATTATGCAGTCATCAACTCATGATGAAGATATAGCTATGATGATCCACCTCGCTAGACTGCTGGTAATTGGAAAGGACACTATTAAATTCCTTTATTTCCCCCAGTTCCTGCGTTGGCCATAAAGCTGTGCACCACAGATTACCCCTGTCACATCCTGTGCTACACTACCACTCTTCACTTATGAGGAATAAGTGTCTTTAGATGGACAGAATTAGTAATGGAAAGCCACAAATAAGCATCCCTCCTTTGCTGGCTGGCGGGTAGACCTATCAATACACTGTGGGCAAAGATTTCAAGGGTTCAAAACTGTGATTGCAATAAGCATAGAATGTGTTACTGTTCAGAAATGTCTATAGGCTGTATGCAGGAACTTTGTAAGCAGAATTTTTCAAATCTCCTGGCTTTGTGGCAATGATCATGCAAAGTTTTCTGCACCAGAGTCACCAGTATTGCATAGATATGCAAACACATACATGTACTCAGCAGCCGGTCTACTTACATGGCCGCCAGTGGACACATGGAAATTACATACAATGTCGTACACTACCCACTAATGATACAGACTGTGCCATGTGTTGGCCATTTACCCTCATGAATAATTATGATTTTCCTCAACTTTGAGTTATTATTATTTAACACAAATTTGTAATGTTTGGTTAAAGTGCACAGAAAATTGGGGAGCCAAGGGGATGTTCAGTATTTCCAAATGTTTGATATACACATGATGTAGCAGTGTTCGTTACTGTGGCATTCCACTGCACTACTGGGTATCATAAGATCCATCATCTTTGAAAAAGGTTTTAACTTCACTCTTGCATAAAAAAATTGTAAGCAAATATTTATATTTGGCCTTTCTGAGTTCCTATTCAGTCAGCTGACAGGCAGTCCAGCTCATTTTGTATTTTCAAGTGAAAAACTATTGACTCTTAAATTTGCTTACCTGTTGCAACACATCTTTGTGAGTAAATCAAGATTGGATGTAATTATTTAAGGGCACTTGCAACTTGGTTAAAGTCTCATGCAGGTGAAGTACAGTATGTAAGTACATTGGACTGTTTAAAAATCTTGCTGTATGACACAGGTACAATGTACATGTATACATCTACCTTAAAATATTAACTTGATTTTAAAAAATTAACACCCCGGTATCCATGATTACCACGTGTTCACCTTGGCATAGCTACATTACATGTATATAGCATGATGAACATTCTACAGTACAATGGGACTTCTTATTAACATAGACCCCAGCGGCCACAGGTGCAGATACCGGACATGTACAGGTGTATGCATGAGTCAGTCTGGTGTCTTGGGAGGCAACAGATGATGGGGGTTCGGAAGGGATTAGATCCCCATGACTTGCAGTTTTCCCGAGGGTTGCATCACAGGTGTCACATTTCTCCGGCCTTCCAATATCTCAGGGATGAATTGCTTGATTGCTTTTTGTCAGGCAACCTGTTTGGAAGGATAATTAGTGAGGGTAAGAGGAAATAGTGGGTGGGAGGGACTTATTAGGTACATTGACCTGCATTGGGAGGAAAGAAGGTTGACAAACTAGTTGACATACACGGTACTAGTACCGGTAGTATGGTACCAGGTCTAAGTTCATGTATTCTGGTTCAAATCTTTATTGACAATCTGTAACAATATCACATGAAGAGAAGCAGGAGGCTGTTCAAAGACATTGGCCTTTGTCATTGTCACTGTCATTGTCATGGTCATTACCATCTGTTTAGTCTGCTAGAAGTACAGAGACAATGTAAGTTTTGCTTCCAAAAAGGTGTATTCATTGTGTTATGAGCATACGTATGAAGTCTGTGTTCACTGGGCAAAGGAGATTGCTGATGACATTGGAATACATGTACCTCTGCAGTACTTTGTCAATTGCAGAGTGTGTGGTGGTTTATGTGATCATTTACCGCTACTTAATCTAGCTCTGTCACCTGGTACCAGTGTTACCTGGTACCGGTGTTACCTGGTACCGGTGTTACCTGGTACCAGTAGAGATCTGTGGAGGGGAATGGAAAGGGGTACCCTGTACTTGCACAAGACTCTTCCTACATGTACCGGTACATGTAGAAATATAAAACAGAATGTCCTAGTAGCATACAATGTACATGGATATGAACTTCCATGTTTGTGGCTTGTAAGTATCCAACCAAACAGTGTTAAGGACTGTGGACATAAATACAGTACATGCTTACAGTCCGCCCCTAGCTGCAGTGCACCCCCAATGGGCAAAAGAAAGACGTGGTTACAAGTGAGTTCTTGCATGCGTTGTGCATGCACGGTACGCAAAGACCATACATGCCGGAGTAAATTGGTTACGCGTGCTCAGCGTGCTCTGTGTCCAATGCACATATATACCGGTACTTGCGTGCCTCATGGTGCTCCTTTGTGGTGAGTGCCAAAAAACATGCCCTCTTTTGTTCCGCGCGGAGTGGATATTGCTGCTGGTAATGTTAGTCCAGGTTCATTTTTAAACAACCTTCTTGTACACGTACATGTACACTGTAAGTCAAATGGTGGAAGAGTGCATAATTATGATGTGTACATGTACGTAATGTAATATGTATCCATTATTAGATGCATGCATTTATACCCTCCTTTTGCTGTAACAGTCACAGATGGTAAAAAATTCCTTCCACTTGATTTGCCCCTGTACACAGATACACAGGGGTCATTTGACTGATTTTGACTGATAGGACAACTTTGTAAAGAATGCATCTTTGCACAGGAGGGTTTTAATAAGGAATACTTCTTTATCAAACATACATGTATTTGACAGAATAGTAGAGATTACAATAAACTTAATTTTGTGCAATATGCCAACATACATGTGTACCATGTACATGTACATCATACGCTGTACATGTAACCGGTATTTACACCTATTGGTAACATCACAAGTACAGCATTCAGTGTTACAAGAGCATGGTTTGTATGGGTTCTGAGATGGTTATAGTGTTACATGTATGTGGAAGATCTAACAAAAGTGTTTATTTTGTGACTGTCCGGTACATGTGTGGTACATGTACCTACTTGCATGGTATGTACATGTACATTGACTCATATTTGACTCACTGTTCTCTTGACTCATTGCGTCTTGGCAGAGCCGCAGTTTTTAAGGGTTAGTCTGTGTAGGCCTTTCTCCTGATGTGTCGTATTAATTGTTTCTTTTTCGTAAATCTTTCAGGAAAAAGCATGTAAATGGAAAACAGAGTTTGGCATGGATGGGTTAACAACAAACGGTGTGCTCATCATGAGGCCAAGGGGTGGGTTCCAGTCAGATGCTAGGCCCGGTGTCTGGAGAGAAGTATCCGTCTGTGGGAATATCTACTCATTACGAGAGACAAGATCTTCACAACAAAAGGGCAAACTGGTAAGCCCCCCACAGTCCACCACAACTATTTACTGTCATTTTTTGGCAGGGCCAAATTTAGTAATGTTCTATGTGCTTGCAACACTTGAAAATCCAGACAGATTTTGTAGTAGCTGACAGAGATGAATGATGTCAAGAACACCATCCGTCCAGATGTGGACACTTTCAGTGAATATGCTTTTTTTCTCAATCTTTTTTTTTCACCCTTCCAAAAAAATGGACATGATTCATTGCAACAGTTATGGGCAGTCATTAGCTCACATTTCCAGTTTTATCCTAAGGAGGTGATATATTACTCTATCAAATTGCATGTATAATGAATCGGGGGGGGTATAAAAGTTGGAGCTGCGTGCAAGTTACGGTGCTGAAAATTACCTACTGTCTGCCACAATTGTCCACTGACAGTAACAGTCCATGTCCTCTATACAGTACACCAATCAGTGTTGATGAAATGGAGCTTACACAAGAGCAATGCCATCTCCTCTCTCCACCTGGCGATACATCAATAACAGGGCCTTCTGAAATCATGATTTATGACTCAGCGCTGCAGGAAAGACCATAACACTGGGAGTATTAATCACAACTATCTGGAATCATAGACTAAAACAAATGCTGTTTTCCCAGAACAGGAGGCTTGTCATATTGGAAGTGTTGTGTATAAAACATACTTCTACATGTTTATATACAGGGATTAGCGGTTTCTGGATAGAAGCAGTCATGATGTATTTGAAAGAATTTCCAGTGAAATCATGACAGCATGAAATTCCAGAAATATTCAAGGACGGTCTGGTACTATACATGTACCAATTTTGGAAGTGAAAAATGAGGTTGTAGTCTAACATAACCGGCAATAATTTCAAAATTTCTTGAGATTATGTGAATGTTGAGCCATGTGTAGAGCTTTGATTGATTGTGCAAAGAGCCAGAGATGACATTGACAAATTTGCCATTGGATATTTCACAAGGATGTTTGAAATGATGCCATTTATTCACAACTTAGTGTGTAATGATCTAGTTTCCAAAGGTGTACATGTATATTCTCTCATTATATGTGTTTCTGCAGTCTAACTACTAAAAACATTTTTTTCTGAAATCAATACCATACATGTAGCTGGTCATTTTGCCTTGGGCTTTTGTTGAAGAGAAATTATAAGTGCCCTAACAACAAATGTATGTCCTAGTAGAATAAATCAAACTGTGCATGAGAAATGTCTTTACTGAGTAAATGGGAGTTATAGGCTGCATGCAACATCACAGAGGACTGCATGTACATTTACATTGTAGATGCGTGCAGTACCGGTAGGTTTCACTGCTTGTTCGGGACTGTCCATTGATATCTTTGTGATCAAAGAATACATGTACTTGCATGTATACCTACCAAACCATTAATTTTAATGGCCTGCTGACACTCAACTGCTTGGTGTTTACATTATACATGTGCATTGTACACAGCAGGAGAAATGAAGGCATACTACATTGTAGCATTAAGTAATAGTACATGTACATGTACTTGCTTTTATAATCCTGAAACAGCAGTCAGCCAGGAGTTTTCTTCAACATGTATTTATTTTAATGGCTCTACAGAGTTTAGAAAGTCTTGCATTGTCTGGGTTGCCTGAGTTGCTGGCCTTGGCATATTGAAAAGATATTTTTGAAGACCTTTTGAGGCAGTAAATTTGATAAGACACCAATAACTAGTATCGGTTTACTGTTGAGACAGACAACCTGAACTCGATAAACATCGTGACTCTTACACAGAGAAATTTGCACAGACTTAAGTGATTTGCGCAAGGCTGCCTTACCATTATCTTTTTTTTCGTCTGTTCTAAAGAAAATTATAATATGTGATACATGATGTATTGATGTAATAAACTGGTCAGAATATCAAAGTTTCTATTCATGAAACAATAAGCTTGTTACATGTGTGTACTTACATTACAATTTAACAATCTCAGTAGAATAAACACTTGTTTCATGTAGAAAATATTTCATTATGAGTCGTTTGGGCATACCTGGTCATGCATGTACATGTACCAATTTCCAAATAAGGAACAGTCTTGATAAACATCAAAATAGGAGGCCCATACAAAAGATGATGTTTCTCAAAAGCTGCATATCATCCAAATTCAAATATAAACTGGAAAACATGCAAGAATGAGTGAAGAAAAGAATCCACAAATAAGGTAACTCAGACAAACTTGGTAAGGAGCCAATAGAAAATGGAGGTAAAAGGAGCTTGAGGGTCTTACCATATGCATAATGAATAAATTAAAGTTGCTGAGTTTAATCTTAGCCTGGTGTCAAGTTGGAACCAACAGTGTGAACTTTCATAAAGTGAAATATTCATTTCTTCTAAACACCTTATCTTTCTACCATGTTTTTCCCCAGATTGATGATGAGAACAACATTCTTGAAGATGGCACACTCATTGATCTCTGTGGTGCTACGTTACTATGGAGATCAGCCACTGGTCTGCTGAAAACGCCTGTAAGTCTTTCCATGTACTAACCAGGTTCTCCTCTGTGAGGTCCATATTGACAAAGTTAATCCATTCTGATTTGCAGTCAACGAAAGCTGTACCATTCACTACTTTTTTTTCCTTTTCTTTTTTTTTTGGGGGGGGTTGCGTGTAGCATTTGAAATGCTCTGTATTTCTAAGACCAAACAGAACCTACATGTACATGTAGCAAGGGTTACAGACTCCATGCATACAGGTACTGTGCAGTTTTTATGAATTCATGCATACAAGTATGCTCCTTGTGCATACATTGACATGTGGCTCTGCCCAGTCAAGATGTGATACGTAACCATGAAGAATGGCTGAACTTAGGTGACGTTTCTGATGTTTTGTTCACTTGCATGTTGACAGGTGCATAGCTTGAGGCAAAACTTACAGGTCATGACTTGGGTTTATGTTATCATGCACACATGTAGCTGTGTCATAAACATATGCATGATGATCAAAGTGCACTTGCTACTGGTATATTGGAATGATTTATGCCTTCACATACCGGTACCCTGCAGGGTCAGTCAGTGAACATACAGGAATTTGTGAAACTGTCATGTGATGTGTTGTTGATTTGACTTCAGACCCAGAAGCATCTTGAGTTACTACGGCAAGGCATCAATGACACCAGACCTCAGTGCCCAATTGGTTTCAACACACTGGTCCTTCCTAAACACAGACATTCTTCCAAGGTTAGTATTGGATCTGAATAAAGTCACAGCCAGCAGAAACATTGAGCACTGTCATACCTCTGTCTTGGATACTCTCCGTTTATTGGCTAAAAACAATCACATGACATGGCAACATATCTGCATATCGCACTCACCATGAGACATTTCATTCTACCAATGGTGCGTGCACGCACACGCATACGCGCGCAAAACAGAAGAGCTTCGGGAAGTTCAAGAAATAACATATGTGGTCCTTTAGTCAGTTTTGTGTGGTACCCATTAGACGTTTTGTGCATAGGCTACCAGGGAATTCAATCAATAATTGTGCTCGTATAACAAACTCATTCCTGTCCCTGCAGCATATAACATAATGCAGGGACCGTTATCCAGACTAAATAAATGTACTCACTGGTACCCACACCAGTTTCACGTTAGAGTTTACACAATTAACAAAAGTGAGGGGACAGTGCATTTGCAAACAATATCGTTTACATCTGTTACGTTAATTTTATAAATTTACAGCAGGCCCATTGTCTTCTGAAATACAGAGCTCGTTTCTTGTGATAGATTCCTGAAGACAGAGGTATGACAAAACAATTGTTGACCG